GAGGAGGAGGAGGAGGAAGAGGAGGAGGAGGAGGAGGAGGAGGAACACACTTCGCGGGCGCGAAAGGTAAAGATTCCCTGAAACCTGTGGCATTTCGCGAGGCAGTCTACCCTCTCGTCTCCCACGAAGCGGGATCGATAGCGTGTCAGACGAGAAGAGAAGCAGGCGGCGGCGGTGGCGGTGGCGGCGTCGGCGGCGTCCGCGACGGCGGCGGCGGCACCACCAGCCTATTTCCAGCAACAACAACAGCAGCCAGCCAGCCAGCCAGCCAGCCAGCGGCAGCAGCGGCGGCGGCAGAAGCAGCAGTAGCAACGACAGAAGCGCCTCTCCAAGTTGAACGTCGCTCCGCAGCCATTCCACGGCCATGTCTGGCGGCGCTCCGTGTTGGCTACGCCCGTGTGTCCTGATCCTGTCCAATCCAACGTTCGCGTACAGCGTCAGCAACGGTGGTCGTGGCCAATGGGCGTAGCTGCTTTCGCGTCGGCTCATGCGAGTCCAGAAGCGACGCGCCGGGGGTTGCTGAAAGAGAGGCAGAGGGGGGTAGTTGCCGACGTCGCAGGTGCAGCCAGTTGGCTGGCGAACTCGAGGCGAGCGCGCTCGCGTCATCGTCGTGCTCGCTCCGCCGCTGCTACCGTGACGTTGACGTGGCGTGCGGTGCTGTGGCGTGCCGTGCCGTGCCGTGCCGGCATCATCATCCCCTCGAAAGGTAAAGAGCGAGAGGCGTCATTGGTCAGCGACTCACGTCGCCGACCAGGAGACCTCCGCTTTTCGGCTCGCCGCCGTCGCGAAACACCATCATTCGGAGCCGCACAGCCGAAAAGTGCACGAGACAAACGTGACGCTAATCGTTTCTGCGCTTTCCGGGGACAGATCCGGAAGCCGGTTGCGCTATTAACGAGAAACGCCAAGATCTGTCGCAAAGTCGTAAGATAGCGTCGTCCGTGAATGTTAATTGTCACTTGTCACCGGGCTCTGAGATAATTCCAACACAAAGAAGCAACCCCCTTGGCGAAGGGTGCTGGGCGTTATATCAGCAACGTCCGTCAATTGCACGATCGTGTACGAATCGCCGTTTTCGAAACCCGACAACGTCATGATTATGTATAGGGTGCATGTATTGCGACCGAGACCGTGAGCAAAGCCGGGTGTTGTATTTGTCGTGTTTCCGAAGAGACGTCGAGGAGAGCCACGAGGCGAAGAACCACCGCATCAGACCCGCGATGAGGCGCCGCTCTCAGGTTGACAGCTGAGAGAACACGCGCGTGGTTCACCAAGGGGTGCAATATCGTCGTTGTCGTCGACGGCGGCGACAAGAAGACGAGACCGCTCGTCAACTTCAGACGAGTTGTACCACGCCGGTGAGTGAGGAGGAGGAGGAGAAGAAGAAGAAGAAGAAGAAGAAGAAGAAGAAGAAGAAGAAGAA